GTGGAATCTGATTCATAGCGACCCCTCCTTGGGTTTCCGAGGCAGTATCACTGCAGAAGTAGATTGCCCAACCTTCCTTCTGAGGAGTGGCTGGTGGGTTTGAACCGTCATCCTTCTGGTTAGCAGTCAAATGCCTTAGGCACTATGCCACCAGTAAACAATTAGACACTAAAATCATGGTAAAAACAATGCTGAGTTTAAATGCCCATTTCTACTGTCCTCTTTCATGCTCAAGAATCCTAAAAACAATTCTAAGTTGTGAAATTGGAGTCCATCTCCATCCGGAGTAGTAGACTTAATGCTCCATTAATCTAGTTTGCTCTCAGCCTCCAATTTAAAGAGTCACATCGTCCGATTTTTAAGGAAAAACTGTTCTGCCAAAATACATTCCAGAGGTCTTTTTATATAAACCATCCTGTGTGCTCCATCTGCGTGTGCAATCTGCTTGTGTGTTTTCAGCCAGCTTGCATAGGCAGATTAATGTGTACAATTAGAAAGCAACCTCACAGGCATTCAATAAACTGCCTTCATTATTACACTCAGGAGAGTCCCTTTGGATGTCAATAAAAGCCTAGTTTTCTGCCTGTTAGCTAAATAATTGACACCACTAAAAATAATCAGAAGCAAATGAACAGAGTCAAAAACAAGGTGTTAAGAAAGAGCACAATTAGATGCACACGGTGGTGGACAAGGGTGCTATCATGAGCTTTGTCTCTAGCAGCTTGGATTTGCAGTCTGTTCAAGTTCATGGCTGCCCTTCTCAGCATTAAAAAATACCACTCTGCCCTGCTATTTGAATCATATATCACAGCTCACTGAACACTAGCAAGGACATGAGGCATTGACTGGTTTGAAAGAATTTCTTGTTTATGTTTATATTTTGTGTGCCTTAGTTTGATGATTCCAGAAGAATCTACTTTTTGTCTTTTTTCTACCTTTTTGTTTGTTTGTTTGTTTTCTTTAAGGAGCAGTATGATTGGTTTGGTAAAATCTGCACTGTCAAAATTCTAATAGTTCTCCCAGACAATTTTTTTTTTTTTTGCTATGAACTAATTCTACAAAGGAATTCTTATTTAAATGGTCCATCTTTTCTAGAAGTATCTTTCATGCCCCTAGCTCTACAATGGCCATCCATTTCGTGAGCTATTGGTCTTTTAATTTCAAAAGTAATTCAAAACAAAATACTTTAAAAGAACTCACATATATATCTCTTCTTGTACTTCTCAATAGGCCTTAAAAATCAATTTGAGATACCTCTCATTTTTAACTATCTTCTTTTTCCTGGTTAACTGGAACCTTCATGATAAGCAGAAGAAAGCGCAAGAGTGAAATGTGCATTTAATTGAATTCAATTCCACTGATAGTGTGTGCAGTGGCTGGGGATAAACCCTTTTTCTCTTCAGAGG